CTACAGAATCAGGAACTGAGAATACATTTTCATCAAATTTGGAGGGCATGTTAGTTTAGGTATGACTTAAAACATCAGTCAGGAAGTATAAATGAAATTAACTTTACAAAAGGCTCCTAAATACTTAACCTTAAGCAGACGAGATACAAATGGGAAGCTCCTGTGACTATCAAGCCAAAGAAAATGCCATGTTAAGGTATGTGAGAAAAGTGATTTCAACTTCTAACCTGTATTAGTAATGACTAGTTAAGACACAATAACAAAAACTCAAATCTAACTAGTTTAAGAAAAGATATTTATTGGCTCACATAGCTGAAAAGTCCAGAGGTAGGTCTACTCAAGTAAGGCTTGGTCTAGTGGTTCAGATGATGTCACCAAGGATCCACTTTCTCTCCGTTCCACCACTGTCGTCTTTGGTATTTGCTTCATCTTTGGGCTCCAGATGGTAGCACCGTTAAGCTCCAGATTCTTCTCTTTTTAATAGAAATAGTTAACTACAGTTCTAGGCCTCATATCTTCCCACAAACCAAAGAGAGGATAGAGATTATCTCCTTTGGCAGCTCTCATAGAAGTCTCTCTAGTCCAGAAGGCCCAGTAATTATCTTCTCACAGTTCGCTGGTTTTGTGGCCAAGGCGATGGGATAAATTGGTTGACATAAGCCAAATAGGGCCCACTCAGAAACTTGGGATGGAGCCAAACCATGCAGCTGAGAAAGAATACTTTCCTCAAGAATATTTTGGTCACTGTTTCCAGTGTGAAGAGGAATAGATGCAAAGTCTCAAACTGCAAGCCATAAAAACTCATGCTCAGAATCGCAGACAATGATTTGCAACCGAGTTGCTGAAATAGGCCTCTCTGCATCTGGCACCATGTTGCAAAACAGCGAAGATTGATTCATTTTCCAAGAACTTCTGGGTGGGCCAGCTAATTTTCAGTATGTGATTCTACACACGTTTTCGTATTTCCTCTTTTTCCAAATTTGAAAAATTTCTAGGACAAAATTTTACCATGCCCAATTACTGATTTTAATATAGTGTTCATTAGATTTTATCAGAGAATATCCTAAATTTCCTTCTTTTATATTTGTCCAGAATGTAGCAAAACTGAATAGCAGTTTTACTCCTCTTCTGATTTTTAGATGTTTGGTAAGTGTCATTACAAACTAGAAGGCATTTCCATGCTTAAAGTTCTTATCTTCTTGTGGGGTTTTGTCCCATGTTCTTAGGTTTAATGCATTCCTTGTCTTTTTTCCTAGTGACATTGACTTTAACACTAAATGAGAGAGTCTGATGGCTCTCTGAATTGAGACTGAGGAATTCTCATAGCACACTAGGCAGTCACTTCTCTTTACAAATGTTCCTACTTTTGTGAATATGTTAAATGATAGAGTCCATGATATGGACTCAGGATGGCCAAATGCCTGTCTCTGGACCACTGGTAAGAAAAAGAATTCCTTTGGTAGGAACTATCCATTTCTACATTTTAGTTCCTAAACCTTTTGGAATACCTATCTTTTGTCATATTTTGATACTTCTCTCATTGTGATAATAAAAATCTTCTCTGTCTACATATATTTTTATCTTTGAGGGAGGGTTTCTGGGGTTGATCAACTTCCATGATGCTCCATTCTAAGTCCCAACTGCCCCGTCTATTTCATGTTCACCTTTACTCATAGTCAAAATTACCTCTTCTACATTTGAAGATACTGAGCTCATCCAGTATAGACACCACTGCCACTGAAAGCTTATGAATATTTAGGGTTTTAATGCTTACTGCCTTGCAGGCACAGTCTAGCCTTCAACCCTATATTTTCATGTGTACTTGTTATATTGCCAAATCCTTCAGACTCCACCTTAACTCCGTAAATACCAAATTTCTTAGGATTAAATCCTGAGCTCTTTTCTTGCTATACTCTATTTATGACAGCAATGCCCAACAGTACTTTCAGCAACTATGGAAATGAACTGTATCTACTCTATGTTATTATTGTTAAGTGCCGTCAAATCGATTCTGGCCATTTATGGTTACTGAGCACTTGAAATGTAGCCAATGTGATTGAAGAAATAAAATTTTAATTTAAACAGTCACATGTGGCTGATGGCTACTGTACTGGATAGCTCAGGTCTAGAGATTTATTTCATTTCTTTCCATGGCTTTATATCCCTTCTACTTAAAGGCTCCCAGATGTACAGTTCAAACCATAACTCAGAGCTCCACCCTTGAGTCAACTGTTTACTGACTACTTGAAATTTCCACTTGCACATCCTTCATGAATTCCAAAAATGATATCTGAGAACCCTGGATTTCTCCTACCCCAAACATCCCTTTCTTACTTGTTCCAGTCAATGACACCACTATACACGCAAATGCTGAAGCAAAAAATCAGAAAGGTATCCTTGATTCCTCCCTGCCCATTACTCCTTGTAGGTGTTTCAGATCATTGATTCTATATCCAAAATATCTCTAAAATCTATCTACTTCATTACTACCACCCTCTCCAGGTCACCATACTTTCACACCTGGACTGCTGCTACCTACAGCCTCCAATTCTCTTTCAGTCCTGACTTTTTACAAACCATTTTATATGTAGCAGCCAGAGCGATCTTCTCAAAATATAAATCAAATGTCACTTCTCCATTGAATATGTTTCAATGAATTCTCTTTTCACTTAGGATAGTTTAATGATCTAGCCCACCTTCTCTCTAAGCCCAATCTGTTCTGCACACACTTTTTGGAACCTTCAACACACCAAGCTCTTCTCAAATCAAGTCTGCACAGCTGTTCCCTTTGCTCTTCTCCTGCTCTTGATACATGTGGCTCTTTCACATCCTTTGAATCTTAGGTTTAATGTTACTTCATTCCTACAATAAGCCTTCCCTGACCACCTATATAACAAAGGTCCCCTCCATATCATGCACTCTCAGCACTTTATCCATTCCTTTTATAGTACTTTGCAATGGAAAAGTGAAAAAAAAAAAATTGACTGGGGGATAGGGCCGTGTTTTAGTCCCTCCCACTAGACTAAATATTCCAAGAGGGCAGGAAGCAAATCTTACTGTCTCCCCAGTGTCAGTACAGTACTTTGCACAAAAGTGGGTACGCAATACCACTTAATAAACAAATTCCATCAAACATCTGTTCACATGATTCATTTCCATTTCCTTGGTCCCACATGATACATTTTTCACTGTATCTTAGAGTTGCCTGGCTGTGCTAGGTCAAGTTTTCCTTAGTATAGGGACTTAGGCTTCTGCAATCAGGGACTCTGGAGTTAATTTAATGTTTGGGATTTTTAAAGAGAAGGTGTGTCCAAGCAGGACTCTGGCTTCTTTTCCTTCTTAACCACCAAGTAAACCCGGTGACAGCTGACAAAACGGGATGCCTAAATAGCAATGTATTGTCTGAGGGATGACTCTAAAGGTCAAGAGTCTGAAATGGGTATTTCAAACCTGTCTGTTTAGTCAAAATTCTTCTCCCTGAACAGATTTTCTTGAATAGTCTCAAAATGTTAATAATATTCTGCATGTAATTGCTATTAATAATCTGTATCTTCCTTAAAACGATACTGTTGGATGGACTCCTGATTTCAAGTATAGCTAATTTTGGGATTCTTCATGTTTCCCTTGTGTCTCTAGCATTGATCTTTGATCCTAGACTTGGAGAGGGCATTTGTGATTCTGCCAAATACTAGATCTGATGGGATATTTTCAACTACTGAAGCTACCTGATAGAGCATTAATCATCATCAGAAACTGGTTGTTTCTACCTCCCTTAGGGATTGGCTCAGAGTTTATTTTGGAATTTGGGTCATTATGGAGATGAGTAGGGGGCACACTGGGAGAGGATGTACAATAACTTTGCATTATATTTATATATAGTAATACAGGGGTTGTAGCTATATAGGTTATTTTAAAACCCTAAGCTTCACTTGCAATGTATTATTTCCCACGCTCAGAGGGCAGGCTGATAACACCAGGGCAATCAGGACTCCAAAGATTGCAATACCTTCTACTACTTTTCCCAAGTTATCTTGGGTGGCCCTAAGGAGGATTGTAACATCTGAGGATAAGAAGATCCTGGAGTTGGCAATATTGATTTCAATATCACCTACATCAAATTAAGCTTTGGGAGAGGTAGACTTATGAAAAGTAATACTAATAAATACTCGTGTATATTCAAGAGGGCTTCAGAAAGTTGTTGAAAAATTCTATTATCTTTTCATTAGATTTTCCATGAACTTTTTGAAGTTCCCTCATATAGAGAGCGTCTCCAGAAAAATACAGGTAACAGTAATTGCCTCTAAGGAGAACAGTGAAAAGGAAACTTCACTGAACATCCTTTTGAATTATTTCAATCTTTATCATATTCATGTTATATCTAGTACAAAATAAATACGTTTTTAAATATGAGACACAAAATGTAGTTTAACTCTCAAAGAACAGTTTAGCTGGAGTCAAGAATAACACTTGGAAGACTATCAGAAAAAGACAAAACAGCACATAATACCAACTTGAGAGGTACTGATTACAAGGAGGGTAGAAAAGAAGTCTGTTTAGTTGAATGGGTTGGGTCTTAGATGAAGGAAAATGTTTACCCCAGGAAAACTTGAGCAAATAACAATTAGTAGAAGCAGGAATGTGCATAATTAAATAAAGGACAGAGATTTCTGAAGTCAGGTAGGCCTGGTTCCAATTTCAACTCTATTACTAATTAGCTGAGCAATCTTGAATGCTTTTTAAAAGAATCTCTTTCAATCTCAGATTCCTCGTTTGTAAAATGGGAATGAGTACCTACCTTAATAGAACTGTTAAGAAAATTAAATACTGCATGTAAAACAACTGATTAAATGCATGTAGAGTAGTTGCTCAACTAAACAGTGGTTAGTATAAACATGTTTAAACAGGGGGAACATTCTTGTTAAGAGTACTGGGTTTCTGTTCTCTTGAGGGAATATGAAGGAAGGTCACCTCATATTCTCTTTGGGGTTCCTGTTGCATAATTATAAACAAGTACCACCATTAGCATTCTTTATATGTTCAAGAAGGTAAGAGATTTGACAGTTACAGGGTTTCTCTCTAGTATGGCGTCTCTGGTGTTTAATTAAAACAGAATTCTGACTGAAGGCCTTCCCACAATCATTACATTTATAGGGTCTTTCCCCAGTATGAATTCTCTGATGTCGGATTAGATGTGCCTTGCAAATGAAACTTTTCCCACACACAGTACATTCATGAGGCTTCTCCCCGGTGTGGACTCTGTGGTGCTGAGCAAGGTCTGAGTTCCATATGAAGCCTTTCCCACAGACCTTACATTCATAAGGTTTTTCTCCAGTGTGAATTCTTTGGTGTCGAAGAAGAGCACGGTTCCGGGTAAAGCTTTTCCCACATTCTTTGCATGTGTATGGTTTCTCCCCAGTGTGGATCCGTTGATGTTGTATAAGACTTGTATTCTGACTAAAGCCCTTCCCACATTCCTTACATTGGAAAGGTTTCTCTCCAGTATGTATTCTCTGGTGCCTAATCAGGTTTGATTTCCAGACAAAAGCTTTAGCACATTCTTGACATTCATAAGGTTTCACTCTAGTGTGAATTCTCTGATGTGCAATATAGTGTGATCTAAAACGGAAAGCCTTCCCACACTCCTTACATCCATAGACTTTTTCTTTATTATGAGTTCTCTGGTGTTGCTCAAAGTCCTCATTTTGATAAAAACACTTGCCACATTCTTCACATATATAGAATAGTTGCTCACTTAGAATTTTCTGATGTATGGTACGGTGGGTATTGAGGTCAGTACTGTCTGAACTCTCTTCTACTGAGATCATCTCATCCTTGACAATCACTTCTACAATATCATCTGCAGTACTATCCATGCTTTCCCCATTGGGCCAGCATCCTAGTCTATTTTTCTCCACTTCATAGGTTTTTCCAAACCAGAATTCCTGGGAGCCATACCACTGGGGTTCACCTGATAGCACCAAATGGTCATGTGCTTCCTGAAAAAATTCCTGTTTCAGAATAAAATCCTCTTTTTCACTCTTCGACACACCCTCTGAAAAAAAGAAATCAAAGCTGCAAATGTTACTGTTACCCACCAAATGGTGGGCAGTCTGTCCATTTCTAAGTGCCACCCCTGTGTCCCGGTAGTCTTATCCCTGCATAAAATGGCAAGATAAAGATAATGTACAGAAAGTAAGTAAAAGTGAAAGGCAAAAACTAGACAGGGAGTCACTGAAGGCTGTGATTCCAAGCACCAGATGAATGTAAGGTGGCCTCTTAGCAAATAGTTGTACTGAATCCAGAGGAGACAAGTCAGAACTCCTTCAGGTAGCTCCACCTAGTTTATAAAGTGAGATATAACAAGCCAAAATTCCAAAGAGAGCACCAGTTCAGGAATACAGAACAATTTGTGGTATATCTGAGGAACCTGACCTTTGTCACACAAAGGGCAACAGCAAGAAGGACCTTCCTCTCCCTCTCAACACTCACTAATAAAAGGAAATACAGTCTTCTCACTCAATTTGGTTACAAAGCCCACCATAAAAAATGCTTCCTCACACTACTTCAAGGATAATTGGTCAAATATTCCTTCTTCTTTGTTCCCACAGTCCCTCGTCATATTTATGTTATAACATCATCATTTTGCTGTAATTATATAGTTATGTATATGACTGTCCCATTAGACTGTGAACTCTTCCAGGATGGAGGCCATAGTTTACTGGATTTTTGATCCCTGCCATCTATAATACAATGAGTAGCACACAGAATTTGCATTAAAAATATTGGTTCACCACAGTGGCCAAAAAGGTATGCCATGTATTCAGTTTGATCCTAAAACCCAAGACCCTTCCTAATTTAATTAATTGTTCTTGACTTCAGGAAAGATGGACTATTAGGGTTTCAGGTTCCTCTTGATTAAGTGGTTGATTTGGAAGTTGCTGAAGTCTTTCATTTAGAGCATGAATGATAGATAAAATGGATTTTTAACATTTTGTAATGGGAACGCAGAGGAAAATATGTGACTAGAAGAAAATTACTTACTTCCCCTCTCACTTACCAGTACGAATTAAGCCTGGACCTTCCCCTTGCAGTTGCAGGTTCAGTGGCTCTTTCACCTGTTCAAGCTGGGAGACCCCAGTAAGCTTTAGAAATGGATAGCCTGCCAGGATCAAGATACAGATATGCTATTTCAGTCAGAGGAGTGGGGCCCATTAGGAAAAGAGCAGAGATGGAAGGGAAAAATGAAGGTGGGTGTTGGTAATATAGATGATCTGAAACTTGAAGGGGGACAATAATATATAGGATTGGAAATAGAAGTACAGGGAAGCTGTAATTCTATTCATTCCAAAGAGACCAAAAAAAAAAAAAGATTTATTTTAAAATGTCAAGAAGAAAAAAAAGGAAAATTGAGTAAGAAACTTAAGTTTTCATGTTCTAACACAACTTTCTTGGACCCTCTCCAGTCATAACCCTAAAGATCTAAGACTAAGGCTTTTTCTCCACTTGCTATCTGGCACTGAAAACCAGTTCACAGAGTAAAGGAATCAGGATAGGATGGAATTATAAAGAGCTGTTCCTAGGAACTCTGTCTAGTCAGGCTATGGTAGCAAACCATAATCTATTTTCTTTCTTTTTTTAATTAGCTTTCTATCTATCTAATGCTTTCCCATTGCACAGAGGATTAAAGGCAGTTCAGTGGTGGATCTCTTTATGACATCATTAAGAAATGGCATCAAGCCTTATCATTTCCAGAAGTTGCACCTTACTCTACTGATGGAAACCTGTATTCACATAGATCTAGTCTCTAGTAAAGCTGAGCTAAGATCTGTCTGTCACATCTATCTAAAACCTCCTAGCATTCAGAGCAATTTTACATTCTTCAAGTGAAAACCTTTTAAATCACTAAAGCCAAGAATAGTGTATCTCTTGAGTATTTCCTTCTCTTAGACAAAAGTGGACTTTGAGTAGGAGCAGATATGCCCCAAGAAGGCTGATGCAGATCAGGGAGTTAGGGTTTTGTTCAGGGAATAACTTAGCTGTTAGCTTTCTGCTTAAAGAAGGGAAGGTCCCACAAATAGTAGGGGTATGTGTTAAGATCTTGAGAGTACAGAAGACACCATGGTTGTCTCCCTACATCTATTCTAATCTTCCCCACAATGTGGAATAGCCCTTGTACCTAAGGTAGACCTTCACTGGTGGTGGTGGTTATGTGCCGTGGAGTCGGTTCCGACTCATAGCGACCCTGTACAGGGTTTCCAAGGCTGTAAATCTTTACGGGAGCAGAAA